ATATATAAATATATTTACATGCCTTTATTTAGACCTCTATAAATGCCCTTTGCCTCCTAATTCTTTCCTATATTTAAGAATGCCTTTTGTTTTAAGTAGTTCCCTTTTTGCACATGGTTCCCTTTGGATATTTTTCTGATCTCATTAATATTAGTGAAATCAAATCAGCATGGAAACTTTGCATGTGCTTTTGATACATTATGCTGAAGCTTAATGTCCATGGAAACTTAAACTTTTATTTGAAGCCTTGATTATGCATTTATCCCCCCTCTGAAATGAAGCCCTCTCTCTTTACTTGCCTTCTTCCCCTTCCCCAATGTTAAGTGTTAGCGGAGTTTTAAATCTGTGAATTATTCCATCATCTTTGATACCTTGTCACTCCTGCTACATTCTTCATGTCCAGCCATCATCAAATAGTTCAGGCGGAGGCTGGCTTTTGGAGATCAGCTAAGCATGGTTTGTGAGGGGAAAGTAGAAGTGAGATCGTCTCCTCTTGTATTCCTTTCCTTCAGCTCTGATTCTCGCATGAGTTTTGCAGTGTATTTACTGTAAGAGGGGGTTCAAAACGCCTTTCAGTTCATTGTCCAGCCTAAGCAATTTATGCCACCAGGGGCCATGGGATATCATGTATTGTAAAAACCTTAGGACCACTGATGTTAATTAAGTACATAACACATGAAACAGGGTAGATGTTTTTTTTCCTGCCTTGTATATTTTGACAATGCTCCGAAGCTATGCAAAAGATTTTCAAGACAGTTCAAGGATCAAGAGGCAGTTATGTGAACATAACAAGGTCATACTGTATAGTTTCAAATCAGGAAGGGTGTTCACCGGGGTTGCTTCTTCTCACCATACGTGCTCATCTGTATGCTGAGCAAATCATCAGAGAAACTGGATTATATGAAAACGAAGGTGGCACCAGAATTGCAGAAAGGCTTTTTAATAACCTGCATGCAATATGCAGGTGACACAGTGTTGCTGACCAAGATCAAAGATTGTTGCAGCCTTCAGTATGGATTAGAACTCAATGTAAAGAAGACCAAAATCCTCACAACTGAAT